CAGATAGATTTGTTTGCCTACATAATGTGTACAGATAATACAGTGCCTATCTCTAAAGTCTTTCAGTCAAGCATGTGCATAAGCAGTTCACATTTCTTAAGCAATGCAAGCGTTACTGTGTCTGCTGGTGTGAATCTCTTTTAGCCGTCTGTTGTCTTCTCTGCACTCAGGGACCTTTAAACAGATAAAAGATGATGCATTAAGCAGGAGATATGAATAATGAGCTCATTCATTTGACATTTTATAGTTCTAAGATCATGATGAAACTCTGATCATCACAAATAACTTGAACCAAATCGCTTAAAGCAGGTTTCAAATGGAAAGGAACCGATATATGCCACAATCCACAGGGATGAGCGCAAATTATGAGCTTGTTGTCAGTTATTGTAAAATCATTGTACAACTAACGGAATTCTTACGTGTTTTAATCTTTTTGTGACCCTTCTTCCAAAAAGCTAGAGCATAAGTTGCATCACCAACTCCAGCATCAGCATCTGAAGAACACAAATAATCAATAAAAATAAAATAATGATACAATATAAGATTTATATATTTCTTCAACAAGCCACGTGACTTTAGGAATCATTCTGATCTGTAGCAGAACCGGTGCATGATGGTTATTTTGTAAGGTTAGTGGTTTGACTGTAATAGTGATGAAGCTTGACTTTGTGTTTCTCTCACCTCTATCTCTGTTGTGGTTCAGTTCAGAGTACAGAGTGTCTCCAGACTCACTGCTCTTCCCTGATAGAGAACAACAGAGAGGCAACGAATGAACATAATGCCGTACATCTGCAACACTGATAAATGATAATCCATGATCACATGAAGGAGTGGAGGCCCTCAAAACACAAGTGTATATTGATTAAAAATGTTAATATAATGTCCAGCTAAAAGAATTATGATTAAGAACCTTTTTTTTTTTTTTATTTACTTTTAACCAGGTTCTGTTAAAATGATTTATTTCACACGTTTTCACATGATCTGTAACCTGCTGTTGGCATTTCAGAGCATCTCTTTATTTACTTCTGTGTTTGTCCTTAGATTTCATTTCAATCAGAACATCAGAAAGTCCAGCACCTATCATGAAAAACAACAGGATGCTATCTGACTCTAGTCTGTCTATGCCTGTTTTTATCATCGAAATTCAAGAGTGCAGCATCAGTAAACAACATACAGACGTGGTTGATGTAGTATATTTGGAAAATGAAGTTGCATGAATTGGCTCTATTAGTGCTCTTTATGATTGTAAAGGGTTTATTTTCCTGATATTATAAAATCACTATAATCATTCAGACAGTTGTGTTTAGATGCAGTTTGTTTGCACCGAATTGACAGATCAATGCATACATTGATCTGTCCGTAAGTCAAATCACTGGGTCCTGCAGTATTAATATCTACAAAACAGAAGATCAATCAGATTATTCAGAACATGCTGGAAATATTGTACTTCAGGAAAAAACAGGAACTCACCTTTACTTTTGCATTTCTTTCCTTTTGTTCTGACTTCTGAGTATGTCACATTATTTGACTCTACCTTAGTATTACCTGGAAAAATAATAATACTATTATTTTGAAATAAATATGAATTTTTTTATTTGTTGAATTAGAAATGGAAATATGTGGTTAAAGACTGATCATATTGTACAGGTGAAGTTAAGAGGGGTTTTTTTAACCTTTGTCCATCTTTTTCTTAACAGTGACCTCTGAATATGTGACCTCTGCCGATGGCTCTGGATCATCTAAAACAAACAATTCAAGCCAACATGACTGAACGATATTTGTTGATTTTTGAATTATATGTGTATAAAAAAAGTTTAAGACTCAACCTCTGTCTCTCTTATTCACTTCAGTCACGTCGTCATAAATGTGATCAGAACCTGCTGGACAGCAAACAAGTATTTGAGGCTAAAAGGTAAAAAGCAAAGCAGTCTTGAAGAAAAAAAAAAGATTATATGAAGCTTAAAGTGATAGTTCAAAATAATGAAAATATCTGTCTTTGTGTGTGTTCCACAGATGACAGAAAGTCATACAGACTTGGAAAGACATTAATAATTAATTTTTGTATGTGTACTATCCCTTTAAATAAGTAGTTATTGAAGCTGACCAGACTGTAGAGGATAATTTTCCAGTTGAGATTGTGCAGATTGATTTGGGACTGATGTCTGGTTAATGTTACGCTGCTGATCTATAACAGAAACAAAGAGCATTATGATCACTCAAGAGTATCTGCAGTGACTCTTTAGTCTGATATTCAGATCTTCTCATGAGCCTTTACTCAGAAACTGTATTGTTGCTGTTCAGTTGTATTAATCATGTTATGAACTGCTCCACACCTTTGTTCTTCTTGTATCTCCACATCAGCAGCAGTGAGAGGAAGAACAACAGACAAACACTCAATCCCACAACCACACCAGTGACCAGAAGAGAAGATGAAGCTGCTGAGAACGGAGAACATGATAAGATATGTTCATTAGTGACAATGTATGATAAAATTACAAACATACATAAAATCGCTCATCATTTCCAGACCTCTGACTGAGATCCAGCTGTGCAGTGACTGTCCTCTCTCTGTTTTACAGTAGTACAAACCCTCATGTGACTTTGAGACAGTCGTGATGTTCATCTCTCCTGTCGTCTGATTCTGGACGAGTGATCCGTCTTTATAGAAATCAGCTCTGAGGATCGAGGAGTTTGTAGATCGATGTAAACAGTGTAGAGTCAGAGTATCTCCCTCAATCACAGGATCAACAGAACTCAGCAGAATCACATCACCATCTACACAACACAAGAAACGTGTGCTTAATGCAAATAGTAAGAGCACATCAAAACTATTCAAGGGCAAAAATGTTGCTATCTTATGAACTGAATTGTACTTTATGCTTCCAATGTGATTTTTAGCATTATGCAGTCATTTCATTAGGTGCCAAATTCGTATGAATTCGTATGTGAATGGTCCATCCATAAACCTAACCATCAGTTGGCCATAATAATATTTTACAAAACTGTACAAATTAGCCATAATTTCGCCACATTGTAAAATAGTTATGAATTGCCATGGGAGTATGTTTTGTAGTCAGACTTTTAACAGCTGGCATGAAACAGAGTCCACTTTGCTGATTAATCTGAACAAAAACTGTCAATTTAAATGGGAAGAGACTGTCTGATGAATGTGGACAGGTTTAACTTAACTATAACAGAAATAACAGATTAGAATGTGTATAGATGTGATTAGAAACAGGACTCACCATGAACAGTGATGTTTAGAGGATGACGTTTCTCTCCAGATTCAGACTGACACCAGTAAACTCCAGTGTCAGATGTGTTGAGAGAGACGATTTGACATGTAGATTCCGTTAGTTTTGAACAATCTTCTGTGTTTCTGTCTGTGTATCTTCTC